AACGGCCAAGAGAAAAACTTGGAAAATGTTTTCAAGTTTCTGAAATGGCCGCTAGGGGCGTAACTGCAATTTTGAATCTAAAAAAGTGATGTTTCTATGAATTCCGCCATATTAACCTAACAAAAAAATACCTGATCTTTAAAGTCGAGGATAATGTGAACTTTTTTGCTTGACAATTTTTGCTGTATCCCTAAAGATAAAACGGTGGGGGTTGTTCAAACGTTTCCGTAAAAAACACCCTGTATCTTAGAAACGACTGAGCCGATTTTAACATAATTGGACTAGTTGAAAATAGCTATTTTTGGGCTACAAACGTTATCATATTTTAAGTTTTGTTAGTTTCACTTGTGGTGGCTAGAGGGCTTTTTTGAAATTCCGACAGAAATGGTTAGTTTTCTCAAAAAAAATTAAATGTGTCTAACCTAAAATTTAGGACAAACAAATTCCTTAAATTTTTATTTTTTCAAACTAATTTTTCTGGATTTCTCTTTTATTCATCAGACTGAAATCGTCCTTTTTGAAAATATTACCAAATATCGCTAAAAGGTAAGTAACTTCTCATTCGTCGGTAAACACTTCGCATGCCAATAGGTCTTCCGTGTTCTGCAAACCATTCATTTGCAATGGACCTGGTAGTGGAGAAACGGTCCCTTAAGGCCAATAATCTTAGGCGGCGATCTTCACGGTCTGTTGTTCTACGGCGGCGTCCAGTGCCCCTTGCTCTTTGCGTACGGCCTTCTCGAAGCCATGCCTGATAACACCTAACCACAGTGTCTACACTTCTTTGCACTCTAACTGCAATTGCCCGAAAAGAAAGTCCAGCTTCCCGAAGTCCCACTATACGGCCCCTATCAAACTCACTAAGTTGACGAAATCGTATAGGTCTCCGTATTCTAGGCATCGTAACCGATCGTAAAGGATGTCAAGAACCAAAATCCGACAACGTTGATTCTTTACTGCGGCTGAAATATTCATTTTTAGAGCGTTAGTGAATTAAAAAAAAAGCAGTATAAAAACCGGAATGTCCAACTGATAAGGCTGAACATTCTTTCACTTGTTATTTACAGTAAGATAAATACATTCACCAACTTTTATTAAAATAAAACCATTTAAACAAGGTGTTCGGATTTATATGTCACTTAGTATATGCGACCTAAATTACTCCAGCGATTTGACAAAACCTCACAGATATCGGAACTACTTGATTTATTTGAATGCCTCAAATTAGTATGGAATTACAGGCTTCAAACGAAAAGTATTCCACATTCACCAACTTTACTCTAACCTCAAATCGTGCCACTGCCTCTGCAATAAAATTTATTGGCGCCCACCAAGGTGCTTAGGCCGAACAACGCAATTAAAACAATAGATTTATCAAGTCCAAATAGGTGTATGTATGTATGCTTATTTTACTACACGCTAATGTAAACGAATTTCACTTAGTTTATTGCTTTACATAATTTTATATTGCGACATCAACAGAAACGAATATTTAAACAAAAGCAGTGTCACCTATATGTATATAGCATTATGATAAATATTAGTTAGTATACACATATTTCCCATATTCTCTAATCTTCACGCGCATTATCAGATATGAGTCTACGAGTACAATTGTTGTACGTTTACCTAAAACATGCATTTCTTGTTTGATAAGCAAATGAACACCTTCAATTGCTCAACAATGCAAAATACGATTATACAGTTGTGTGGTTAGACTGTATAGAATACCAGTGCCATAAAGATTAATTTGTTAAGCTAAGGTCATCGAGACTAAAGGGCCTTATCACGAGACGTTCCTACAATTATTGTAGGACGCCTTTTAGGCCTCCTTGAGGTTCATAGTTTTCTACTGTTCCGAGTCAGCGCTCTACTTTGAGGTTATGTTACAAATAACAATTTGCATCAAATTCTTCATGCTTTTGATTTATACCATCTGTTATATGAGCCTGAAATTTCCTACGACTCAAAAAGAAAACATAGCCTTACGATAGGAGAGCGGTCACGCTGACACGGAACAGTAGAAATCTAGAAATATCACAGCCTTTGCGAAGGAGATAAAAGTCTATGAAAATCTACAGTGCCATGGGATCCTTGCTTTTCATAGTTTTCTGTTTCTTCCCAGTGCTTTATTTTGTGGTTAGGGCACAAATATCTATTTGCATTAAATTGTTCGTGCTTTGCCTGACATTTCCTACAATTCAAAAAGAAAACATAGCCTCATGATAGGAGAGCGCTGACGCTGACACGGAACAGTACAAATCTAGAAATATCACAGCCTTTCTCAAGGAGATAAAAGTCTATGAAAATCAACAGTGCCATGGAATCCTTGATTTTCATAGTTTTCCAGCGCTTTATTTTGAGGTTATGTCACAAATATCTATTTGCATTAAATTGTTCGTGCTTTGCCTGACATTTCCTACAATTCAAAAAGAAAACATAGCCTCATGATAGGAGAGCGCTGACGCTGACACGGAACAGTACAAATCTAGAAATATCACAGCCTTTCTGAAGGAAATAAAAGTCTATGAAAATCAACAGTGCCATGGAATCCTTGATTTTCATAGTTTTCCAGCGCTTTATTTTGAGGTTATGTCACAAATATCTATTTGCATTAAATTGTTCGTGCTTTTGATTTATATCATCTGCTTTATCAGCCGGAAATTTCCTACAGTTCAAAAAGAAAACGTAACTTCACAATAGTAGAAAATAGAAATAGCATTAGAGTAAAAATACCCCAGCCGTCTTTTTTTCTTAGTCCATAGAACGTTAGACGATCATATAAAAAAGTTGATTACAGCAGGACATTTTGACAAATTTTGACCTCGCTGCCTTAAAAACTAGCTACTGAAGAAATAGTTTCGCATACGCAAGAGGCAGGTGTGATTTCTCATCAGAAAAACACTGTCTAAGTGTTTGTCTCATAGTAAAGAATTGAACTTCTCAGTAACAGCTTATTTCAATCCTCTTAGTCCAGTATAGGAAGGGATTAAAAACCCATATTTTATCAGTTTTATGGACGTGTAGTCCTCGCCTGTTCGAGGTTTCTGTTTGACAATATCAGTAAACTCTGCATGTACATATCTTAATATTTGTGCAGTAAAATGCTGTTGTTTTGGCTAACGTTGCAATATAATTAAATCAAAATAAGATGAAAACACTCCCTAGTTCGATAACTTTTAGATCAAGTTCCAAAATGTTTTTAGAAAGATCTTAATCTTTCTTAACCCCTAAACACAAGCTAGTTTAACGATAATTCTTGCTTCATTCGCTGAGTATGCCAGAAGTAGCCGGCCAGGCGCCTATAGCATCGAATTGAATGTACGAGGGATGTCTTTTAACCCTTTCAATCCGGATTTGTTTTTTTAACATTACTGTTTTGAAATGTTGTATACCTATGTAAAAATAAACTAAAAAGAGGTTATTTGGTGAAATAATTTTTTATTTCAAACAGGTTTTTATAAAAATAATGGGACACTGATGTACCAGCAGGTTTTTTTGGCGGGACATATTTGTCCCAACGGATACGTATTTCAGGTATGGTATGGCGCATAATGGCAAATCACACATCCTGCACAAGAGTTTGGTCATCTTTTCAATTTTTCTTTGTGAGCAGCGATAGCACCTTCTTCTTGTAGGCCCTGTCTCAGGTAAATGATCACCAACATTACTTGGATCCGTGCATGGTTGTGAGTGTCGGCCAACTTTTCAGGTCCTTTTACGTTTCACACCTGTTCTGCCATGGGCTATCAGTAACTCCGCTAGTTTTACGACATATTGAATGAAGGTAGTATTTTTTGATGTGTTTCTCTGAATAGTATAAAAGCATTATGAACCATCATAAGAGATTTATAATAGACTTTTCGCAGATTTTCTGTTGATATCATATAGAGAAACCATTTGAGCGGCATGGTCCACGCCGCCCATACACGTATTGTAAAACTCTATAGCTTCAAGGCACGGAACTTCTGAACTTGATCCGTCTTTAATTTTTCTTTTAACTTTAGTTATTGTAGCTTTATGACAATTGGAAAGTAAAACAAAGTCTTCAGTATCTTGCCATCTAATAGCTAAAGTTCCCTGATTACTACAGTCCCTTGCCATATTATTAGACTCATGCTGCAAATCTACGTTTACTTTATATTTCTTGTTGTTATTATGAACTTTTTGCAAATAGCGCGAATTATTGGAGTTTCTCAAAGTTCTGTAAAACGAATTAAACAAAAAATAGACCTCGGTGAAAATCTGAGAGCCAAACGTAAAGGTGCGTGCGGTCGTCGAAGAATCACGACAGAGAGAAGTGACCGAAAAAATTCGCAATATTTGTATTGAAAAATCGAAAACTGCCGATAAAAATTCTTACAAAAAAATTCTTGAAGCTGGCATTGAAGTTTCGCAAAGAACAGTGCAGCGGAGGTTAGCAGAAGAGGGTCTTATTAGACGTAGACCAGCACGCAAACCAAGACTTACACCTGCTATGATATCAAAGCGATACCAATGGGCACGAAAATACAAGGATTTCACGACTGATAACTGGAAGAACATAAATAAGTGCTATATAACTATATTCAAGTCGTTCTTGTACTGTAGATATTGTTTAATCTAGATTCTATGACGTTTTTCAGGTATGTTTTTCGGACGAGTCGATTTTCCAAGTATTGGTCGACAAATCGCAGTTTGTACGGCGAAGGACAAATGAGAAATATAAGCCAGAATGCATTGTGCCGACCATTAAACATCCTCCTTCGGTAATGGTACGGTCAGTTATCAGTTATAAATGTCAAGGGGCCTTATACGTTGTCGGTGGTACAATGAATGCCGAAAAATATCAGGAAGTTTTGGAAACCCAGCTGCTCCCTTAAGTGAAAAAATGGTTCAACAAACGAGAAAAGCCAATTTTTATGCATGATGGTGCGCCTTGCCATCGTGCACAAATAATTACAAAATTTTTAGCTGAAAAAAAAGTAGATATTCTCGACTGGCCAGGAAATTCGCCTGACATGAACCCCATCGAGAACGTCTGGGAGTTTTTGAAATCTGAAGTTACGATGAAAGCCCCTACAACCAAGCAAGAGTTGATCAATATACTTAATGACACTTGGAAACATAACCCAGAGCTCAAAATAAAAATTCAAAACTGCATAAGCAGTATGCCACGTCGCGTTGAAGCTGTGTTGGCTGCGAAAGGTGGTCTACAAAATACTGATTTTTGCATGTGAAAAGATTCCATTTTCATGTAAATTTCTAATTTTCTATGTGACATTTGTTGTATTTATAATAAATTTTGATGTTTCATCATGGATAAGCTTTGTAAATGTCTACTGGCGTGTTATAAGCCAGGAAAACTTCATTTTTAAGCATGAATCCAATAATATGGCAAAGGACTGTATATCTAATTTGGGATTCCCCTCTTGCCAGTTTCCCTTCAAACTTCGGCACATCCTTACGATTCCTCATACAGGTCCCCACTGCAGCAAATTCAATGTCATTCATCAACTGATGTGAAAAATCTGTTAAAATACAAAACTACATTTTTTGTTTGACGAATTGAAGAGGTCAGCTTTTTGACTACACGTTCAGCGAGGGTTCCTTCAGTGACCTCCGTTACCTTGCCACTATAAATATTCAGGTCATAAACGTTCCCTGTCAATGAATCACATCTTGTCCATATTTTAATTCCACGTTTTACCGGCTTTAGTGGCATGTACTGTTTCAGGGTTGACCTACCCTTAAATTTTGCCATTGATTCGTCGATACAATGAAACGTAGAGTCACTTCTTGCCGGGGAAAGGTTTTTTTGAAGCATGATAGTACTTCGTCCATGTAATAGGTTTTTGATGGATTGTCGGGCTTTTCAGGTTCGTTGAAATACAACTTTGATAAAAGTCTCTCTGCGTATAATTGTCTTCATCAGAAGAATCACTATCACTTCCTTATGATGGAATGAAATTTTGATCTTTCACGTTGTCGTCACTACTATATGGCTCGGACTCATCTGCTTCTCCCACACTCTCGATTTCACTCGGGTGTTCAGCATAGTACTCCAATTCGACCTCTGTAAGGGCATTTTTTCTGGCACTCATGCTGTAACAAAAGGAAAAGTTGAGAGTGTACAAGCCTAATGGGACACATCTGGCCCGGTATGAATACCTGTTGTGACATATATGACCCAAGGATGAATAATGGGAAGGAACACTCAAAAAATTAATTTATTGTGTTATATTTATATGTAAATACTTACTTTTGAGCTTTCAGTCGCCGACTTTCTACAAAACAGCAATAAATATTTGAAACAGATCACTATAAATGCAAGTAAAACACTAAAACATGCGCTGTCTATACTATAACTATCTAAAACTGTAATGACTCATCAATGTTCACGTGAACATCACTTAACTACCAGTAGTCGGCTGTTCATAGGCGGGGTATGAATGTTTAACATGGGTGAACTAGATTTGTCACATGCTTAATAAAGACTGGTTTGAAACATATTGTAAGTCAAAAATTTGGGAATTACCTTTATTCATCGTCGCTTCCACTTACATCTGACAGTAATAAACTGTCGCTATCGCCTTCCTCGTTGAAATTGACTATAACTGGTTCTATGATGGTGTCGATGTGGTGGTCAAGCTGCCACATTTTTGTTTCTTCCTTCACAACATGACGGATAGCATTCTGTCAAGCTTCGGGCGTTACTAGCTGTATGGAAGTCTCAAGTAAAACCTTAACGTCTGGTAATTTGAAGGTTGTGTTATGGCGCGCGATATAACCCTTCACTTGAGCCCAGATGAGCTCTATTGGGTTCAGTTCACAGTGGTAGGGCGGTAACCGCAGCACAGAGACACCACATTGACGGGCCATCTCATCAGTCACGTAACTAATGTTCGCAGGTTTGTGCTGTTTAATTTTTTCATACAATTCCGCTTTCACACATGAATCGTCAAACCGGATTCCTTTCTCGCGCAACCATTGCTGCATGTCACTTTTTCGAGATCCCATAGTCGGTACACGTTCGGCTCGACGACTATGGTAGGAAGCATTATCCATGACGATCACAGAGTTGGGCTCAACTCGCTGAAGCACCCCTTGAAACCAGCTCTCGAAGCAGCTGGCATTCATTTCGTCATGGTAATCACCTCCTTTCTTAGAGACGAAAATCAAGTCACACTCTTCTAAAAAGCCACTATCGCTACCAATATGAGTTACGATCAATCTTTGACCTTTCCCTGACAGTCCACGAAGACCTGTTGACAAACCTTCAATGCTTGCTCGTCTGTTACTCACTACGTTTTTGTCTATCCAGGTTTTTTAACTGTGTGACCTGCATTTACCTATGTCTCGTCCAAATAATAGATTTTTCTGCTTTGTCGCCTATATTCAATCATTTCGCGTAGGTATTTTCGGCGAATATTTCAGGTCTCTCTATCAATACTGACTTCCGATTACGCGTTTCGTAACGAAAATTAATTTCGTGCAGGGATTTCCTCATTACCTCGACGCTCATTTGGGGTATAATTAAATTTTCCTCGATCGCTGCATGTACATCCTTGAGGGTTCCTAAAGAAGAATGAATGTACGGTTCGCCTTAACGCCATTTTGCTATCGTCATCCAATTTAACGGCCTTTCGTCCCTTCAAATTAAACTTTGGATCAGTAGTAGCTCCAGTTTTCTTCCTTTCATGCACCACCCTGCGAATGGTCCACTCTGGAACGCCTGTCATACTTTCACAACGCGCGAGTGCATCTCCCTACGACATAGTTCTGTTCAGATAATTGAACACGTTGAGCACGATTTCTTTCGCGTCCCTCTTCAGTGCTTTACGAAGCCGTCTACTTATTCCCTGGCTTTCAGTACTTCCACTTGTGCCATTTGTACTCTCCATGGTTAAGTATAACCAAAACAGTAACCACAGAAACCACAACAATAACAATCACACAACAATTCTTATAAAAACACACAATATTCGATCGCTCAACGAAACACGTTCCAATGCGTTGCCGACGCCTATGAGTCTGCCGGTCGAGGCGCGTCTTTGATTTCATTGGTTCTACCGGCGGAGAACAATCAGCCATTATTTCCATCTCTGTCTGTGCTGTTGACCACCGCAAAGCCACAGAAACGACATATGTCGTACGCTATACGGCTGTACTGGAAGGAAGCCGGGATCGAGCTCTGATCACGTGTTGATCAGGCGTATGAGTCATTACAGTTTTAAATAGTTGTAGTAAAGGTTAAGGTTCAGTACTGACGTTCAATCCGCGCCGCCTACTATGTTTCTATATCAAAAACTTAAAAGACATCCCTCGTATCAAGAGCCTCCAGCTTTTCATCTATATCGTTTCCAAACTTCCAATGATGTTGTATGCTGTTTCAATCGAGGTTTGCCGTTGAAAACTCTGCGAAGCACGTGCGTTGATGTGTTCTCGGTGTTAAAGGACGCACTATTGCTAGTGGAAAAGAAAACGGGGACAACACAGCTATGAAACTGATAATTAGCAATTTAAAAATGAACAGTCGAAGATAACACATATTTCTTCTCCCATCTTCATATTCTCACAGCCTCATACTGATACTTGACTTCTCGCAACAGTGCCACATTCGAGCTAGTCGAAACGGTTATCTCTTATAATGTATGTAAATTCCTCTCCTTATGTTCTTTAGTCCAGGATCCGATATGCTACGAAATATGCCTAGATGCAAGGGCACCGCGGCTGCCATGAGGAACTTGAATAAACTTTTTTAATACGATTTTTGAACTGGCCAAGGCATGATCCAAGTTAAAACATACCTGATATTTATATATTTATTCCATTTATCACAAAATGTAGCACATGGGATCCCTGACCATATAGTGTTTTCTAATGTATGTAAAATCCTGCAGCTAGATGTTAAACTTGGATAAAATATGAAGTGGTTTCAATTTGCCCGAGACCGCTGAGAGGTATCTTCCGAGGAAGATTATTCTTGATTCCATCATACAATGACCCATGAAATTATGGCTAACATGCTAACCAATTAGTAGGTATGAGTTATCAATGGGGATAGTGGAATGGGTATAATGATACTTTCAGTGGCGCGTCATAAAAAAGAGATTTATAGTATTTCCAGTGAGTAATAGGACGTTCGTGTTCAACCAACCAATGCATTGTACCGGGTGGACCAATAATAAATGACGCCGGCAAAAGTTCAACCTAGAACTATCGGTTAAAACATGACAGTGGTCAAGACAGCGTTGCCAGATGGATCAAATAGAGTTTCTCTAAAACAAGCACAAAAAATCTTCCAAATCAGGATTCATCATGTTTCAGTAGTCGAGGGGGGGGGGGGTAGAGGTTGGATGAGCTGACAAAACTGGGCGCACCACTCGGGAATAAAAAATAAATTTTTCCAACGAATTGAGACTATTTTTCAAACTTGTCAGATCAACTTGTTCTTTGAGCCACGATTGCACGTGAACATAAAACGATATCGCTATCACTTTACTATTTGGGAGTTGGGTAATCCCAGACCCGTGGATCTACAAGACGAAATCCATGCAGACTCGCGGAGAAGACAAGAAATCCGGTCAGTTTACAACTTATTATTCTGCTGTTTTTCTATGTTCTGTGACTATGGCAGGGTTGCCAGATGAATCAATCCTCATTCCCCCAGAACAAGCACAAAAATCCCCCAGATATGTAACAATATAATCCCCCAAATCATATTTCAGTAGTCCTGACATACAGATGAAGAGATGGGTCAGCGTAGATGTTTTGTGGAGATGGATGCGACATGAATACAGAAAAAGCTACAGAAAGAAAATTGTTATTTAACAGTTGACAGTTTTTGTGGTGGAAGATGGAACAAAATACCCAACGATTTAATCTTTCGCCAAAAAATCCTCCAAAACATTTTATCTACCAAAAATTCCCCAAGAGACGTAAAAATCCCCCACTTTTGGGGAAAAATCTCCCATTATGGCAACACTGTCTATGGATGCATGTCGCTGGACCTACAATTGACATAAAGGTTTAGAGGTGGGTCAGCGAGCAGTTTTGTGGAGATGGATGCGACATGCCTACAGAAAAAGCTACAGAAAGAAAATTGTTATTTAGCAGTTGACAGTTTTTGTGATATAAAATGGAACAAAATACCCAACGATTTAATCTTTCACCAAAAAATCCTCCAAAATATTTTATCTAGCAAAAATTCTCCAAGAGGCGTAAAAATCCCCAAAGT